GAACAAGAGCAAGCAATGTGCATCGACTCCTTATTGCTGCCTAGGAATGTTCACGGCAATTTTATGAGACAGGTGCCATTTTTATCCTTATTTCATCAGTAAGGAAACTTGAGACACAGAGGTTAATTTGTTAAGGGTCATTTAGCTTATGAGTGGTGGAGCTTCGATTTCAACCCAGGCAAGCATCCTGGGTTCTTACCCTTGATATTCTACTGCTATCATCGCCTGGGAGTTTGCCTGCATCTCCCATGACACTATAAGCCCTATGAAGACAGGGACTGTCACTGCTGCTTCCCCAGACCACCCTGGCACAGGGCTTGGCAGGTAGTACATGATGAATCTTTAAATGTTTATTGAGGAATGAATGAATGAATGCATGAATATCACCCAGCTGAGTGACTGTTTCATAGAGTGCCCAGATACTGCTTTTTCTTCTGCCAGCGAGGCAGCCTCCTCCCCTCACTGCTACTCCAGGCTTCGTGGGGCTCTCTTTGACCTCCACAAGAATTTACTGTTTTGGCTGGGGGGATGTGTATCACGAGCCAACCACAGCAAGAATCCCAGTGCACGTGGCTGGTCCCACTTCGCTGTGTTCTCAGGGTTTCCACACAAGGATGAGTTCAGGAGAAGCGGTCTCTTTGCTCAAACCAAATGCAGCTACCAAATGACTGGGGTTGCAACTGGAAGTTGAGACAGGTGAGTAGGAGGGGCTCTGGTGGGAAACTGTCCATCCAAGAGACCAAGCTTGACTCTTCAGGAAATTGGGGGTAGGGAGTGGATTGAGAATCTGGAAACCATCACTAAACCCCTGTTTCTGGCCCTACAGTGATCATTGTTTTGACAGCGTCCGAGGTAGGAATCAGCAGAGACAGCAGATCACCTTGGTTCTGCCATCAGCAGTTAAACCAATGGGGTGTGGAAGATCTAAATTGGGGGATGCTTAAACGGTAAGAGTAAGGTCAGGGTCAGTGGCTGGAGACCTCTGTGAGCCACTTGACTTCACTCTCTGCTTTGGTGACAGACCAAATTTGTTTTCCTGGTCAGCTGTCAGGCAATGTTTGGTCACAGAGAGATGGTTTGTGAATATCGTCACTAGTGGAAAAAAATAAGACAAGGTAGCTATGCATTACCTGGAAAGAAGTATAGGACCTGCATCAGGACAGATCTAGATAAAATGTCTGGCTGTGTCACAGTGATTGTGCCACTTAACCCTTATGAATCTGTTCATCGACTATAAAAATGGAATAATGTATTTACCTGTCAGGTGATTGTAATGATTTTAAAAAGTGCCTAGCACAACACTTGCTGCATAATAAGTGCTCATAATTATTGGTTTCCTTTTATTCTTTCTATCTATTTTACATTTAAATACAGTACTTGTATGGGGGTTCTTAACAAATATTTATTATTGGATGAATGAAAGAAAGAAGGGGTAGGCCAGTTCTGGCAAATTGAAAATGTGTTTTTAATAGAATTAGAGAAACACTGACTTCACGCTTCCATGCCAAATCCATTCTTGCTTCGGTACCTCACATGTGTTGTTCTCTCTCTTGGAAATGCGTATCATTCTTTGTTGAGGAAACTGCTTTAGCACTCGGCTCAGATGTCACTTATTCACTTATGTCACACTTATTGTATGAGAAACTTTTTCTCATGGCCATGACGGAAGAGGACAAATTAGGAATGGTTCCTTCGTTCAGTCTGTGGACAATAGTGTCCCCACAAAACTTTGTTATTAGGCCTACTAGGGCCTTCTTGAGCCCTGCAGGCAGCCAGCAGAGGGGCTGAAAAAGGAATGGGGCCCAGGGTGGGGGGTAGGAGGGAAGCTTTGGGTAGTTACTCTGCAGGTTTGAAGGAAGAGAAATGGTCTCCCACGTTGTCAGCGATGAAGCGTTAGAGGGTCTAACTTTTATTATAATGGACCCTGGAGGTTCAAAAGAAATACCTTGGAGACAGCTGACTTACTTCATCGGGTCACTGAGCTAAAAGAATCGTAGCTTCATCTTTGCTCCACCTGACAATTGTTCCGCCTTCCACATGCTGGTTGCCTAATGCATGTTGATATGGTTGAGTTAATTACAAGGTCACCGTGAGGTTTAGAGATGCTTCCCCACCCCCCAAGAGTAAAGGCAGGCGCCAGAGATTAAAGAGTTGAGAAGCATGTTGGTTCGTGTTGCCCGTTCACCTCTGGACATCCCACTGCCGCATGCTGCCCTGTGTCTTCCTTCTCTGTTTCTTCCAGCTCACCTTCGTCCTCTGGAGGTGAAAGCATGGATGTCTGCCAACGTTGAGCTTTTGAACTGCTTGTTAAAATGTCAGGAATGGACTGTTGCATTAGCATGATTTTAATCAAAGCCCGGGAAGCTGCAGCTCCCATTTCCCAGAAGTCAACAGACATCCTCCAGTACAACCTGAGGGCTGCTACCAAGCAGCAGGCCTTGTGGGGTAGATTTAAGGTAGGGCAGGATTCTGAGAGCACAACAAACCGTCGAAAAGGTGGCAAGTCAGCTTTCACATAGCTTTGAGTGTCAGCTGGAAAAGGGACTGACTTCTAGGTGCCACCAACCAAGAAAATCACCAGCCCTGGGGCGGAAGGAGATGGCAAGTGTAAACACCTAGTTCTGTACCCGGCGCGGAGCAGGTCATTTGCTGAAGCATGGCGGTGGGAGACCACCCACCTAGACTTGATCTCTAGGGCCTTCTCCTGCTGCTTCCATTTAGGAGTCTTCGATGTTTGCTCTGGTGCATCCTTCGTTCAGGGGGAAGGGGAGGATGGCGGCCCTCTGTTCTCAGCTCTGACGTCTTTTGCAAGTTCCTCCCACGCTGTAGATCTCAGACTGTACACCTATGTGGTGAGGGTATTGGATTCGTGTAG